TTTAACGGTACATAATAATCTGTTATTAGGATATACTATAAATGGCTATCTCAGATTGGGTCCCTTGGGAAGCAGACTCTGAGATGAATTTTAATAGGTACAGTATTTATTAAAGAGTGCCTCTAGTATCAATATCTGTGGGAAGGAGGGGAAGAGAAGCAGAATTAAACAGCGGAAGAAGTTAAACTGGGATACAAATTCAATGAGAGCCTCAGGTGACCTCACAAGGAGTTCTGGTGCTGGAATGGCCCCTCAGCATTATACTAAATTGGACTGAGATGGCGAGGTCTTTTTATACCCTGGCACTGATCAGTCATTGGATGTGGGCCATCCTGGGAAGGGGCATGTCTTTCTGCAGTTGAGGCAATCCTTGAAGGAACTAAAAGCATTCCCAGATCTTGGGGTAACAAATCTTTCACTGAAGAGGAATCTAGGCAGCATATCACAGTCTACTCCTCGTTCTGTTCAGATATATTTCTTCACATTTGTTTTGGGAGCAGCAACATCATGATTAGAGTGGGCCTCTTTTTCTGTGGGAAACTTTAAAAAAGGAAGGTTAATGGAACAAACTACAACCCCTTGCATTGCAGCTAGTGTCGGGGCTACAACTGATACTCATTGTCTCCCTCTTCCTCTATCCATTTTAGATCTTCCTTATCTTCAGCTATCACCTCTGCTGGTCTCAGTGGCTTACCAGGTGGTGTGACCCAACCCTCATCCTTGAAGGGTATGAACCCCTGATCGCTATGTCCTTCTTGGGCTGAGATTTCTACACTTGTCCACTTAAGGTCAAAATTGGGCAAGAGTGCACCAAGAGATGTCCAATTAGATCACTTGAATGCCAAACAAATTCCACTATGCCTTCGTTATATAACCTTCTGTGCCAGGGTGGTGGCTCCTTTTTTTGCCTGTTGGTCCCTATACTCGAAGAACACAAAGAGCCTAGGTTGGCACCATAGCTTGTAGCTCAGCAGGAGTCTTGCTGTGTTCGTTGGTGAAATTTGTTCCCTTTGGAGACCAGTACCTCCAAACCTGCAAAGTTCAAAGTTGGGAGCCAATTTCCTGTGGATTTCTTGCACTTCTATACACCTTGTGAGCAGACACCAACAGCTTTTGTTATGAACTATCTTTTATAAGGATGTTTGTATAGTGACTAGTCTTATAAGATAGATACGGTATCCCTTTTCAGAACAAAAGACAGCTTTGTTTACCGTCCAGTATGATAAAAATAACATCTTCCTCTGAGGAAAAGTTTAGGTAGTTTGATAAGTTTTGGGTTCTCTAAACTCAGAGTACCACAGTCATAATGCAAACCCACTGCATGTACAGCATCTTTCTAGACCAATCCATATCTTCTTCATGGCACTTGGTGTATGAGGGAAACCAATGAAATCATAACCCTCATGCTGCTTGCTGTGCTGTAAACAATAAAGCCTTCTGACTCTGATCTAGGAGTCTCATATCTTCTGCCAGCATCCAGAAAAGTGGCAAACTAACAAATAGAGTAACATAAGCTTATATAGAGGGTAAAATCCTTCACAGTTCTTGATAACTACGTTATTACTAAGGGTAGAAGAATTAACATGGCCCTGGGGCAGAAATGTAAATGTATATTGTTACTCATTACATGTAAATAAATTATTTCTAATTCTCTTTTCTGAGAGAGATGGAAAAGAACATATTTGTCACATTAACGGTTGCATACCATGTACCTGTGTCTGTTACTCTGTTCTAGCAAAGACATCATATCTTGTATCTTTTTCCAGGATCAGCCTGGTTTTTGCAGGGACCAAACTGGTGACTAAAATGGAGGTATGACAGGGATTACCACCATCCTTTCATCCTTTGGTTCTCTAGGAGTGGCACCAATTTTTACCATTCCCCACAGCAATACTGTTTTTTCATTTATGGCTAGAGGAGGAGGCTTTTTCAGAGGTTTTCAGTTTGCCTTCCGCATTATGATAGCTGTTACTTTATAGGCCAAAGACCCAATGTGGGGGTTGTGCCAACAAGTATATCTATTCTGATTATATGTTTGAGAACTGAGGAAATGACAACATTTGGGCGATAGACTATTGGGCCCACTGTAACCAGGACCATGGTTAGGAATTCATTTATTACCTGGTCCTCCATAGGCACTTAACTCTAACAAGGGAATCATGATGATTCTTTGAGTCTCTTAAATATCAATGTCAAATCGTACTCTGTGGTCAACAGTCCTTGCAATGGTTATGTATTCCCATTTTCCCAGTATACAGTTATCTGAGTAAAAGGCCCGAGGTCCAAAGGTTCTAGAAAGAACTGAGGAGATCATTACTGTGTACATTTGCCATGGTGTTGCAGGTTCCTTCCTCATGGGGACCTGATCTCTATTTGAGTTAATGGGTTCTAGGCCTAAAAACAGATTCATGTTTTGAAACTTGGCAAGGAAACATGGTTTTAATTGGGATAACTGCCTCGGTCTTCTGTCTACACATCTGTAAATTCATCTGATGACACAAACTAAGTAGTGACCTCATTAGCTGTCCATCTAGTTTTTCTCCCTAGGAACACCAGATTCTGTTAATTATCTCCATACATCTCTGTGGGTCACTTCCTCCTGACTGCTCCTCTGACTTTATATTACAATAATTATCCAACTTGGCTTCTGACCGTTAAACACCATAACTTGGCCTCTATTATTTTGGGGTCCTATTATCTTTATTGTTATCAGTAAACCCAGTTCTTTAATGGTTTCCTTTATCATCAGCTCTGGCTTATAGCAAGTCACCACTGAGTTACTAAATGAGACTGATGCCCCTCACAACAGTATGTTTCTATTATTTTTAATTTTTTAAATTTTTTTATTTTTAGGCAAGGCAACCCTTGGTTAACCTCACAGATTGCAAGGACCTTGTCAGCTTACAATCCTTTATTTTTTATGCCTACAGCTCCTAGGTGGTCTCCCATCCAAGTACTAACCAGGCCCAACTCTGCTTAGCTTCCAAGATCAGATGGGATCAGGATTGTTCAGGGTAGCTGGCTGCAGAACAGTACATTTCTTATGTCTTTGACATATGGAGTAGGGTAGCTGGCTGCAGACAACAGTACATTTCTTATGTCTTTGACATATGGAGTAGCCTCCTGGCCTTCTGTAAACTAATCATCTGGTACGCTTTCCATCTTTACATAGTATAGTATCCATCATGCATTGCCTGATTGTGAGACAGAATTTAACGGGCAGATATTTACTAAGGAGTGCCCTAGAAATTAATGGAAGGGAGGGGAGAAATTGTGGAAGGTGGGGGAGGGAAGCAAGATTAGGCAGAGGGAGAAATTGAATTGCAGGTCCAATAGGGAGCTCGGTAAATACAATTGTCCCCAGTTGGCTAAGATGGTCAGGCTCTTATACTACAACTTTGTTCAGTAATTAAATGCCGGACACCCTGGGAAGGGGCCTAATCTTGAGCAATGCAGCTTTCTGCAAATGTAGTAATCCCTAAGGTACAAAGACTCTGCCAACAGCACTCAGTACCTGGGACAAGTCCTTATTGTCATGGGATCTGGGCAGTACATCATGATGTCCATCATAGGGTGAAGCATTTAAATCTCTCACTCTTTTTGTTTTCATAGAAGGGAGATATTTTCTATTCCCCATGAAGAAAAAGAATGAGAACTTCACAGTCTATCTCTCCCTAGGAAAGGAGGAATGATTTCTCTGATAGATGAGATTAGAAGGAATCCAGTTTAAAAGGCTAAGCCCTTTCTGGGCTTTCTCTGTTTCTCTGTCTCATGCCCTTTGTCTCTACACTCTTTATCCCATAGTTTGTCAGTAGGATTCAATAAATTCTCTGCTCTTCAATTTTATAAGCTTATGGGGTAGGCCTGAATGCCATGCAAGGGCCTGAGGTTGTCCAGTTCTGCCTATGACTAGGTGATGTATTCATTTGTGGGTTGAGGTGAGAGGACCATTAACAATCTTATTTGCTAAACCAAAGCTTTTTCTCTAATTGGCTTTATTCTAGCTGACTTATATAAATTGAATTTATTATAAAATTTTTCAGACTTGACCAAAAGGAGAGAGAATAATACAATGAATGAACATATATTCAGTAGCCAATTAAATGAATGTCAGGATTTTTATTCGTCAATATTTTGATTACTTCCTGACTGATTTCTGAATCTTAGTTTTCATTTGTTTCCATACTTGGAATGGGAAGAAAGTAGTGTCATTTTAAAGATTAAAAAATAAATCAAGACACTTCATGTAAAATTTGGATTTGTGATTGCTCTTGGGGAAATAAAAAAAGAAAAAAATGAAAAGAAAACCTGGCGATACTGGGCAGCATGGCAACAACCAGCTGGCCCTGAGAAGCAGCTACCTACTTTAGACTGGGTATGAGCTCTCCCATTTGTCATAATCTCCACCCCTCCCAATGTGGAACCCAAGTGTCAGTTTATCATTCTCCATAAGGCTTTAACTGTTGCTTTAATTACATCAAACTTCTTCCCTTCCCCTTCTTATTTATGTTATCTGTCTGGTTCCTGTAGGCATTTGAATTTTTGGCCCTGGCTTTATAGACAGGCTTTTTAGTCTACCTAGAGACCGAATTCAGTGAAACATAATTACAGTGTCTGAGTGTTCCTAGCAGTTTTACTATAAGAAAAAAATTATGTACAAAATGTCCTTTAGTAGGAAATGGACAAATTTAGTATAGTCATACAATGGAATATTATAGCAGCGCTCAGAAGAATAAATGACTGATATAAACAATAATAAATCTCAAAATAATTATGCTGAGTAAAGAAATGACAAAAAAAGGGTATATATTATTTCACTTACATGAAATTCTGAAAAATGCAATTAACCTATAGTGACAGAAAGAAGACCAGTGGACAGAAAGCAGATCAGTGGTTGCCTGGGGACTGGATAAATAAAGGGGATGGGGAATGGATTTCAAAGGGCTATAAGACAACTTTTAGAGTTGAGGGATATATTTATTATTTGATTGTAGTGATGATTTCATGGGCTTACATATAGGTCGCAGTTCATCAAATCATACATTTTAAATAAAACTATAACAACAACAACAACCAAAACTATCAACAAACAAACAAAAACACCAAATATCTGCCACATATACTAGTAGGTACTCAATGCATGTCTACCTAGGTGTCATTGACAGAAGATATTTATATTCATTGATTTCTTACCTTGATTCAGAAAGAAAAATCTACAATTCTGATCCTGATAACTTTTATTAAATTTTTATATCTATAAATGTCATAACACTAAAATTAAAGAGACAGTCTAAAAGCTTCTGGAAATGAATAACAGTGGCTGCCTCTGGGAGGGAGAACTAAGATGCTAGGGGAGAAGATAGGAAAGTAACTTTTTACTTTTTAAATTGGTCACATGCATGTAATATTTATATAAAAAGTCTTTTTTTTTATTTTAGAAATAACTTAATTATAAAAAATAAGTAGTAAAAGATGATAGGAAGTGACTTGAATGTTTCATGAAATATTTTAACCCAAAGATGGTCTATATAGCTAATAAAGTAAATTAAACACAAGTAAGCCTTTGGTGGTGGGAGAATTAAGAAACTAGTTATCTGTAAAGAATAAGACCACACTTCCATCCAATTTATCAATACCACAGAATACTAGAATACTTTAGACAATGCCTTTGAGAGTTCTGAGAGAAAGTAAATTCAGCTCTACTGACAAAGCAGAATGAAGACATTTGCAAATATTAAAAAACTGAAAGTTTACCTCCAGTTCTTTCATAAGTTAGTTATCAAGAGTGTTCTCCAGGAAAAAAAAAAAAAAGATAAAACAAGAACATAGTCATGAATTCTAGAAGAGTGGCTCCAACCTTGGAGCAGAGTAAAGGGAAGTTCTCAGTGGTGCAGCAGAGTTAAAGAACAATTAGGCTAAGTGGAAGCAGAAGGCCAAAGGTTCATTAGGGGCAATCACCCAAGGGCAAAAGAAAGAGAGCATTTCTATAAAACAATAGAAAAAAAATGGAAAAACTTGATATGATAAACTAGGTAAAATATGCAGGGAAAAATAAAGCAATTTGAAACTCCAGGAAAAATTAAACCATACAAAAAGCTTGTGGCAAAAAGCAATTTGAAATTCCAGGAAAAACAAAGCCATACAAGTAGTTTACGGGCCAAATATGAAGCACAAATAGCAGGCTAATTGATAAGGAAGAGAATCCATTTGATCCTGATGCTCTTCACATTTTCCTTTGAGAGGCTTCCTACTGGTTTTAATAGAGGTCTCATACAGAAGAAAATGTAATCCTGGCACTCTCCTTAGCTTGGATTTTGATAGTTAACCTGTGAACAAAACATAAAAGGGAAGTGAGTAGAAAGTGGGAAGGCAGAATGGTGGTATTATTATTGGAGTTGAAATACTATCTAAAGTTGAAATATTATCTACAGTTTCACAGTGTATTATTAAAAGTTGCAAAGATGACCAACAAAAGAGTTAAAATTAATTCACGTGTTAAGTATTGGAGGAGTGGATGTTAGCATAATCCTTATCTTTCATCACAGAGAGTTATTAGATATTGTCTAAAGCTGATATGAGCATATTTAGAAATACCGAATTAATCACAAACAAACAAATATGTAAAGCTTGTCCTTGGGAATTTTCCTGTAGGGAATGGGTTAGGATGAGATTTGTTGCTTTTCATCATAAATTCTTTTGTGCTATTTGATTTTGTTACAATTTAACTTGTTTCCTTTTATTTGTTGCTATGTGTACATTTATTTTACTAAAAAAAAAAAATTAGAGGCTGGTTTCTCTGTTTATATGGAAACAATATTTTAATATCTACCCTATCAAGGTTGACTCCCTAAAGAGGGTCAGGTCTCATGACAGATATTTTAAAATAAGCAATGAGGTAGAAAACAAAGGACACAAAGAAACTTGGACTAAGCAAATGGTTGTTTTACTGGTACCTTATTCTCTGCCCTAAATAATATTTAAGAATCCTTAGGTCCTACCCACACTAGTTATAACCTTCTACTTATGAGATTACTTTTTTAAGTGTCTGTGTAGTTGTGGTACTCCATTTTTGGGGTATAAGGTTTTGTCTGCAATCAGGTTACTGATTGTGAAAGGCGAGGTATTCTGGCTCTCTCTACTTACCAATTTGGGGATAGAATATATTGCTTATGTTTAGAAAAAATTATGTTTTTAGTATGAAAAAGGAATGGTAAAATTATGGTTTAATTTCATAGGTAGGACGCCATGGCACATTACTGCCACCAGTTGGCAGCACACCTTAATTGTAGGCGTAGAAAAGAAAGGAAAACCATTTCTGATTTTGGCAATGATCTAACATCAAATGTCCTGTAACCAAGTGAAAAACGCAAAGGAAGACACTTGATTTTGGAAGAGAAAAATGAGACAGTGATCATGATCCCGAAAATGTTAAAGAAATACATAGGGTTTGTGGAGGTAGTGAAAATGAAGAATGAGGAAGCGAAATCAGAAGACCTTTATTTGGTCTAAATATCCAATAGCTACACCTGAAAATCTGTCAAAGGGGTGGGGAATGATTAATGTAATATTACTTTGAAAAGTCTTTCTTATTCCTGGGATATAAGGTTGGTTCAATATCTGCAAATCAATTAATGTTATATACCACATAAACAAAATGAAAGATAAAAAGCATATGATTATATCAATAGATGCAGAAAAAGTATTTGACAAAAGCCAGCATCCATTTATGATAAAAACTCTCAGCAAAGTGGGACTAGAAGGACCATACATAACAATGGCTGTATCTCAACATAACAAAGGCTGTATATGACAAACCCACAGCTAACATCATACTCAATGATAAAAAGCTTTAAGTGTTTTCCTTAAGATAAAGAATAAGACAAGGATGTCCACTTTACCTCTTTTATTCAATATGGTATTGGAAATCCTAGCCACAGCAATCGGATAAGAAAAAGAAATAAAAAGCATCTAGTTATTTGTTATAAGGCAATGTTCTTTATGTTATTGGTTAATAAATGTTAACCATTTATCCTGTAATGCATTTATATTACATTTACATTAATATGTAATTCTGTAAATGCAATTTTAAAATTTAAAATATTAAATATCTACTTTTAGACCAGGTTGGCCAAGAAATTGAATTGAAATAAAAGTCTAATGAGAGTGTGTCTTCTTTAGAAATCTAACCTGTCAGGAATGAATCTTCAAAGTGTGCCAGATCTCATTCTGGATCATTTGAAATGAGCAATGAGGTAGTAATTTCAATGCCAAGAAACTTAGACTAAGCAAATAGTGGTTCTATTCCTTATTCCCTACCCTAAATAATATTAGGAACCCTTGTCTTCTACCTACACTAGTTCCAGATATGCTTTTTGATATTTCATTCATACCTATGACTCAAAGCTGTTAATGAAAATGGCGTATTTGAAAATCTTTGTCAAGAACTTTGGAATCTTGATTAAAAATTTCACGGAAGTAGAGGCTCCTGGTAAATGTGTGATTTTGTAACAATTCAACATGTTATATATAGGACCTATTACTTTATCTTACCAGATAGTTAAAGATTATATATCTGCCTTTTGCTTACATTTATGATTTACTAGACTAGACCAACTAATGTGAAGTATCTGTTGACAAGACAGAAATTGAAAAAAGATCAGGGCATTTCATGATTGTCATTTAAGTATTTTGGATTATATTTTCTACCCATAGAAAGCTTTTGAGCATCTTTTAAAGGAAGGTGAATGAAAGACAAGGACTTTTTAGAAAACTATTATAATTGTTCTGGTGTAAGGTAATGGGAGTTGGTGGGGAGGCAAGGGCTTGAATGAGTATAGAGCAGTAGAAGAAAAAGAAGGGATTAGAATGAGACTATGATGGAACTTGTGCTTTATTGAAGGAAAAGAGTCAACTCTGGTCCTATAATTTAGAGCCTCAGAGGCTAGGTAATCATTTACAAACACCAGGTCAAATATTGATTTAAATGAGGGGCAAAATAAAGGACATTTTAGATGTCTATAAACTCAGAAAGTTGACTATGCATGTCCTTGGATATTTTTCAAAAAATTGCTAAAAAGTTCTTAGCAAGGTAACAACGTTGTAATACCAATGACATTTATATGTGTTAATTTGTTTAATAGTCATAACAACCCTATTAGATACTATTGTTATGACTATCTTACAGTTGAGGAAACTGAAGCACAAAGAGATTCTCTCCCAGCCAATATCACATAGCTTTCCAGAGCAGTATGGGTCCAGAGACCATGTTCTTAGTTGTTACTCTAACCTGAAGTTACAGTGCTATTAAGAGAAATTAGGAAATTCGAATAAAAAAGATACACTGTTTTAAATATTAAATTTTGAGCTGCAGCTTCCTGGCAAGTCAGCTGAGCATGAGGAACCTTAGTTAAGAAAAAATTGGGAACAGACCATAATTTTGGGAGACTTCTGAAGAGGAAGAGTTTTGAAGAGAAGAACAGAGAGCTAAGAGTTGAATTATGATATGGAATAAAGAGGAAGAGATAGTAAAAGAATCCGAGGACCAGTAAATCAAGTAGGATGTAGAACCCAGGAGCTGTCTTAAAAGAAAAGGAAATAGGCTTTTAAGGAAAGAATAGTGTGCCAAGAAAATGAGGAATGAGAAAGTGGTTGGAAATTAGAGCTCTAGTGATCTTAAAGTGTAATTTGTTAGCTGTTATGAAGTCATTGACAAAAGCTAAAGAATAAGGTGGAAATGAAGGTGGTGACTGCTTCTTTTGAGAAATCTGACAGTGAAAGGAAGGTCGATGGTATAATAACTGGAGGGAATAGTAGCACTGAATTTCAAAAAAAAGACAATAAAAACTATTGAAAAACAGAAAGGAAGAAATCAGTGGTTAAGAAGATACTGAAGATAAGTGAGAATCTACAAAAGTAGGGGTGAAAAGGAGGAAGTGAGAAGGGTGGCATACTTAGCAGCCCTGGGAGAAGCACTGGTTTTGGGAGAAGGGGAGAACGGATTAATTTGGTAAGAATTTTTTAGATCATGAATAGATGCGTGTCTACATATATTTTAATATGGAGAGAATATCAAATCAGGAGTCCCAGGAAACGAGATGAAGTTAATCTATTAGTACAGATTGAGACTGGCACCTTTAATAACAAGGCAGAAATAGTCCTTGTGGACAATGATAGGAAGTCAACCAGAGATTAGTAAAAACATATGTTAAGTGGGAGTCCTCGAATTTATACCCGACCAGGTTGGGTCTCCCTCTAGTGAAAAGCCACACATTTTTTGGCCCTGGGAGAGAAACCAGAAATAGGGTTAACCTACTGGAAATTGGCCCTGAAAACCCTAAGGTAATACTGAAATAGAGCTGGATATAACAACTGAGAATTTAGTCACAAATGGGATTGATGACTTGGGAGGTTAAGTATTTACTTTTGTACTTGAAAGTTGTAAGCGGTTAAAGGTAGGCGCCACCGCCACAGCCACAGCGCAGCGGTGGAAAGTAGGGAAGAGGCGACGTTCAATGGCATATTTTGGTCATGATCTCACGTTAGTCGATTATTTTCCGTTTGGCAGCTGGGAACGTCCATTTCAGACCATCGAGCACAGTCCTAGGCTGTGGTAGGAGAAATCTAATTCAAAAGCTGGGAATATGTATTTTCCTAGTCTAGCTATTCTTCTTTTACTAACTGGCCAATGCTGCCGCCTTATGCAAAGCCGGCACCACGGACAGGATCTGCTTTACAGAGGCAGGGACGACGCCAATCGGCCTCGGGCGGGCACTGTGCGTCTAGATCCGCGGCAGGGGGAGGTCCCAAACAGTTCTCGAAACCTTTTCACCCTCGTCGGGTAAAGCGCCCCGTTAACAGGCAACAATAAATCACTAATAAAATGCTAGGTTCTGAAGCCCTGGTTAAACATAGGAGAAGTGGGAGCAGGGTTTTGAGCGTTTTCCGCAAAGCGCGTCCCGGGCGGGGGTGAGAGCAGGAGCCAGGCAGGGCTACTAGAAGCGACCTGGGGAGGGGCCTTGGTGAAGGGGGCCGAGGGCTGGTTTCTCTCCCCTGTCTGGTAAAAGCTCCAAAAATGGCGGGCGGCAACACAGCTCGCGGGACGCGCAGGCGCCATCGTGGTCATCTTTCCGCCCGCCTCAGGCATCCCACGAGCTGCTCACAGCGCCCTCACTGAGCGGTATCCGCGGCTCGCAATTGGCTGAACTGGGCTAGCGCTCCGTGTGGGGGCGGAGCCGCCACGCAGCGGCTACGTTTCCCGCCCCTCTGGTGCGCGTGCGCGCAATCCCCACTGGAAAGCGTTTGCGCGCGTTCCCGCCGTAGCCCCCAGCTCGCGCCTCCGCTCCCTCCCCTTTCCGGGCAGGCCTGTCCCGTCAGCGAGGCAGTAAGCGCCGCGGCCAGCAGAGGGCGGTCCGGACCCAAGTCTGCAGCGGCGCCATTGGCGTGTGGAAAATGCCACCAGATGGCGGGTTAGGATTGCAGCTCCGTTGAAGGCGCGGCCCCCGCTCCCGAACCCCCGGCGACCACCCCGTAACAACCCCCCCACATCGGGAATAACACACCGGAGACTTTTGGGGGGAAACTAGGTCGACGGCCGGTGGCGCCCGGATGGGCAGCTGAGGTGAGTGCGGGCGGCGGCGACGGCGGCGGCGGGGGGCGGGAAAGAGGGGGAATGCGGCGGCAGCGGCGCGGGGGCTGGAAGC